AAACAGAGCCCGGCAAAAGGACGGCAAATGACAAGCTGGAAATGTTTTTGGGGCCAAGAAGCAAAGGGGATATCGTTTTTGGGGGTCCGGGGCGGAGCTCTCGAAAGAGATTGATAATTGATAAAGCAAATCCGGGCCCATACTTATGAATTGGAATAGAAATTGAATAGAGGTACAGCAAAGTTCGCACGCGTCACGCCGCGCCGTCGCTGAATGCCGCACACGCGATGTCGCGTAACCGATGTCTTTTGGAACAACATACATGACCAGTTCTCAATGCTTGCGAAATTATAGGACACGGTATTTCGTGAGCGAACGAACCGAGGCTGGCGGAAACAGAGTAGAAAAATTATGAAAAATTTGTGAATGAAGGGCGTGCCCATTTTTTTCCAAATTAGGTAGGCAATTGCCCACCTAATGCCCACCTGAGGTAAGCAAAGCTTTCAGTTCGCATAACTTTTTTCAAAATTGTTACATAAATCTGTTGTACACCTAAAGCTTAGTATATATTCACATTTTAGTTTCATATCTCCTCTCTCCTCTTTGCTAGAGCCAAAAATAGCTTTAGCTGCCCAATTTCTCAAGGAGGAAAGCGCTCAAATCGATCGGCGCCTTTGATATTTCATCACTTCTAGATTGCGTCGTTCATTCCTCTTCGGGTTGAGCCAGACTTCGCGGGGAAGCGGCGTACGCTCGGTATATTTCATCATAGAGTCTGCCCCAATCCCAACCAGGCCAAAATTGGCATGGCGGGATTCCGCGTCGCTAGGGTATCGCGGTCACACCCACGGCCTGCTTCCCTGCTTTCTCTTCAGTCCTTTTGCTTTCTCCGACAGCGCTTATATGCAGCGCAGACCGCCAGCGCTGCGAGCGCGCAAATCTACGCCGACGGTTCGGCCTGATCCCGATTGGAGCAGACTGTAAGAGCATACGCGACGTACGCTGCGTACGTCCGTACGCCTCGCAGTCTGGCCCAACCCTTCGTTGTTACTTTCGCTTGTCTTCCGCGCGTTTTATCATAACACTCGTTTTATCATATCTCGTCAAACTTTCGTATTTAGATTGTATGCTCGCAGATCAGATAATTGAACGTATGGAATATGTACACGTTAAGAACTTCATTCACGCGATATCAAATTTGATAATTTTTTGATGGGAACTGGCCGACACTGCAACAAATTATTCCTCATCGACTTGGGCCTTGCGAAACAGTGGTTTTGACCATCAGTGTTGATTGCAATTTCGATATCCTCTTAGTACAGTAGCGTTCGCTTGTGGCGAAGTCTTCTTTATTATCTAATTTCTTGTTCTTTTTTTCTTTTCTTTTTCTTTCTTGTTTATTACCCTGGATCACAAAGAAGAAAGATTTTGTCACAAGCGAACGCCACTGAGCGGTCGAGCAGGAGTCAGCAAAAGGTGGCCGCTTCTGCTTGTGAAATTCCTAAGGGAACCATAGATTCGCAGTGTTCGTGGTGTTCATAATGCTCGCGGTGTTCGTGTGTTGCTGCTTGGTGTTGTAAGCTATTCGAAAGTGGAAATGTGTTTACAATCAATGCAAAATTAATTCGTAAGAGTGGAAGTTCAACTACAAAACGTGCATTATGCAACACCGACAACATCGACAACCGCGAACACTGCGAACTCCGCGAACACTGCGAACCTATGGCCGTTCCCTAAAATTGCACTTTCTCGCGCCTTTAATTACTTCCTTGCTTCTAATCACTTGGTATGACTTATGCTCCATTGTTCGTAAACTTTTTAAGCATGGTATATTGCAGAATATGTTTTAGCTTCAAATTTATGGCAAGTATAATTTCTGAAAAGACTTCTAGGAATAGCCCCCTTCAGCACCAAAGTCGGTATAAAAAATCAGATATCATAATCCTCAACGAATCAGGACCTGGGGTAGGTTGCGCGGAAGGAGGCGTGGCTTGTGCCAATGCTCCACGAAGTCGAATTTATGGGATTCTAGGAGTAAAATATAGATGAAAGTGCATATCTTTATAAGCTCCTGCAGGACGAAGGCTGTCGGTTTGATGTGCGATGTGGCTGTAAAGCAGCTATGACGGGCCGTGGCGCAGCCGTGTCCCAGCCGTGTTGCACATCGAACCGACCGCCTTCGTCTTGCAGGAGCTTGTACAATTTTTGTTTGATTCGGCCCAAATTTTTACTATTTTGGTAATCTTAGGGGATTCAGTATTACAAAACGTGAAATTTAGGGGAGAGTCTAAGCCTATTTTCATTCATATTCGAAACTCGAATAATCAAGAAAGCGGGATTTCGAATAAAATTCGATACTTGAATAATCAAAAAAGAGTTAGATTTTATTCGAAGTTTTATTCGAATGTTTCATTTGAATTTGTGTTCGAATGAACTCCGTAATCAGAAAACTATGTTATGAATCTTTTTGCAACTGTGATGACCTTTGAAATATATGAAAAGTCGCATTTCCTACTGCTTGCGGCAGTAAAAAATTAGGTACGGATTTTGATTGGTGCTTTTCCGATCATTGAGGTACTTCGCACTGCTATTGGCACCGAACCAGCAAGAAAAACAGCTATTCTTCATGCTCTCATGTTCGGACTTCATATACTGGGAGGTGTTGACAGGCCGGTTTATCTTTCTTTGTGTTGCTGATGCTTTTGGTACGCAAAGTTCCACACTAGTGAGCACCCTTGCTTGTAAAACTCATATTGCGCAACTGCCTCTATTCTTTACCTTAGCGATTTTTCGCGAATTGGTGTACTTTGAGTAAAGGACATCGCAGTTGTGGGGTTGCTGAATTTTGCAGTTGAATTACCTTGCAATAAAGTTTTTGTTTAGCAGATAATGGGAAGTGAAATATGAGGTTTTGCTGATGTATAGACAAGTTGCCAACCGACCAACTTTATCCTCCCTGTACCTCCCAGCTTTTTGGAAAAAGCTGGGAGGTACAGAGGTAAGTGAGGGTGCTGGTTATGGATAAAAATTTACTTTAATGCTTTTATCGATTTCTGGAAAACTCGAGCTAGAGGCTGGAGTTGGCACAGCGGGGTAAAGGAGGGTGCTGATAAAAAAAATTTATTTTATCGATTTCACCAATTTTTGGAAAATTTTGAGCTAGGAGTTGGTGTAGGGGATATGAGGGCGCTTATTATGAATGGATCGGCTTTAGCCGAATATGTCAGCAAGTTTTAGGAATGGTGGCTCTAGTTATTCGATAAATCATTCAAATATTTATTCAAAATTGGACTTTCGATTCGAATAGATTCGATATTCATTCATTCGATAGTTTCAATTTTTCGGTTTTATTCGGAACTCATTCATTCGAAAAATTACAGTCTCGAATTTATTCAACATTCGTTTATTCGACATTTTTCATTTTCAAATTTATTCGATATTTATCGAAGGAAAATTTTGAGTTACAGTAGAGAGCGGATCTTCGAGAGCTATCTATGTCCTGTATATCTTTTGCAACGTGCTCTCTGACCATTTCCTAGGCTTGACTAGCGATCGAAATGCCGCCTTCCACCCGCCACTCACTGTAAGGAACGCGCCATACTTAATGCGCTCTATCTTCTTCGTCATTGGTCGATTTAGTGAAATGACCAATATTGAAGCGGCTGTCCAGGCTGTCCACTTGATCCGCTTGCTCCACTTCATCCACTTCACTTTTGGCCGGATCACTAAATCGACCAGTGATCGCCTTCGTCCTACAGCAGCCGCTAGATCGACGCCGGCGGTTTCGTGCATCTAACTTTATGCCTAGTATATGTATTAATTCAGGATAGTCATCAGTACCTCAGGCAGCGTCCGGGCAGAACTCTGAACAAGAATTTATTCGCTTATCTGAGCTCACCCTTCACGCTGAATTCGAAAATGCAGCTTGCAGAACAGGAAAGTGTCGAAAAGGGGCTATTCCAGAAACCCTTATGTTTGAATTCAGACGCTTGTCGCCGAGGTTGAGACGCAGAGTCGCGATAGGACCCTGCTCCTTGACTGTGCGCGATATAGGCACTCTGGCTATCGATTGAAGGGAGCGGGCAGGTCTTCGGGGCATCTAACAATAAGTACCCACTTTTGAAGTTGATTTCTCGCTTCAGAACCAAGTTGAAGCGACGCTAATTGGGCAAGAGTCTCATTAGGGTGGGAAATGCAGCAATCTATATTTTTTCTAGTAACATCGAACCTGCCCGGACGCTGCTTTCAAATATGTAAGTAACAGTGGCGTACCCAGAATTTCGGCTCGGGGGGGGGGGGGCGGCAAAAAAATTTTTCAAATGAAGGTGCGTGGCGTTAACCACGCACTCCGAAAAAATTTTAGGGGGCCTTCTCAACAATTTTGCGAGCCCCCAACCCCTAAAATCTGGAAAAGGGGGCGTGGCGTCAGCAAATTTTTTTTATAAAACTAATTTGAATTTTTAAAAATTTTAAAAATGAATTTTAATTAATTACAAAAATAAACAAGTCATTTGCACATTTTTATAACTCATGTAAGTAACTTTCAAAAATTTCGCGACCCGTTCTCGGGGGGGGGGGCGCCCCCCCCCCCCGCCCCCTCCCTCGGTACGCCACTGGTAAGTAAGTATGTAACTAACTTCTTTCGCTAGCAAAAGTTCAGAAAGGACTTCAGCCGTTGATACTACATGGCTTCGATGTGTTTCGTGATTGAATTATTCGTAGTGACAACTTGGAAACTATGAAACAAATTTTGATTAATATAGTAGTATCACGTTACTTGGTCCATTTACCCGTCTCTATTACAAAGGGTTATATTTGTAATTGTGAAATATCTTTAAACTGTATATGGCAAGTTTTTTTTTTTGGCGCATACGAAGATTTGGAAAACACAAGAAAAGAAACGGGGCAGAATGGCTTATGTGCAACGCAATCACTGTTCTGGGTGCGTTCACTGTCAAGCTAAAGTTATGTATGAGTCAATAAACATGATTGCTTTAATAAGCATTGGTGATAATGATTGACAATACAAAGTAAAAAGTAACAAATTTAGTAGCACAAACCTTGTCATTTTCGCAGCAGAATAGTCCTCTTGGTGAATCTATGCACTGCATTCCGTTGGGGCACATATCGCTAATACATGCTAAAGAACACTGTATTAGTTTAATTACAGGAATACACGTTCCCTAAAGCTCAGCTCTAAATCATGGTAATTTTTTCAAACAGTGTTGCTATTGTATAATCTTAGACACTACGAGAAAAAATTTCTGGTTTGAAAATTGCTGAAAATTTTTTTCTGGAACTTCTAGTTTGAAAAAGTGAGTTACTTTTGAATATACTAGGATCGCGCAAACTCTCCTCATTAGAAATGTAATGACCGGAAAACCTTTAAATTTATAGTTAAGAATGGAATTCACGGGATTTTTTCTCGAGAAGATATTGCAAAAAAATCGAAAGCACTCACTTTTTTGAGCAAACAAAAAACTGGTTTTTTTTGAATACCATGTTATTTGCTTTCAGGCTCTGCCTTCTTGCATTATTATCTGCAGCGAAAGTTTTGCAGCTGGTTTTCGCCTATGGATTGGGCAGGCGTTTGGGACTGAAATTGTGTAAAAAATTGGGGTTGTATGCACATTTATCCTGCTAGAGAGAAGGTGGGGGGGGGGGCGGGGGGGGGGGAGAGAGAAACGAGGAGGCGCTTCATATTTCACTGTTTCAGGAATCCGTCTTTCTCTGTTCAAATCTTATGCTTTTTTTACGTATCCTAACATTTGGGGCCGTAGTAATCTTCAAGGACTTGACGGAGGTCGCAACCTAAACTGGAGCTCGGTTTCATTACGCAAGCTATTAATCTATTTGCTGGCCATCTTTCATTCACGAATATATTGCAAGGTGAACGTCACGTTTAAAACAACGATATGCTCGTGAAATAAAAATAGCAGGCAAATAGATCAATAGCTTGAGGAATGAAACTGACAAATGCTCGAGCTTACTCAGATAATCGCTGGGGGCAGGCGGGCACCGGAAAAATAGATTGCTGATTTATCGCACCCCGCTCGCGGAATTTTTGGGAAGCAATCAGGACTTTTCGGAAGACCGCTTGCTGAGTCAGCGAATTTTTGAGAGACCGCCTGTTGAATTTTTTTTCGCTTTTATCTTTTGCAGATATATTGCTGAATCTCTGAGGAGTCGAGAACTCAGCAAGCGGTCTTCCGAAAAGTCCTGATTGATTTCCAAAACATCCACGAGCGGGGTGCGAGAGATCAGCAATCTATCTTTCCGGTGCCCGCCTGCCCCGGCGATTGTCTGAGTAGGTTGCGAACTCGTATGTCACGCCCATGGAGGTTACTATGGCACTTGAGCACAATGGATGCTGAGACATTGCCATACAAGGTGAGATTTGGTTCATCAAAGATTTAATTCTACGATGACCATGCTTACTATTGCCACAATAGATAATTAGAACAACTTCATGACGTTTTAGTTATGGAAAGTTAGACTACTTTGAAAACAAAGAGTGATTCCCTTATCGATTTACTGAAAAACAGTTTTAGGAGCAGTGGCTAATCCCTTGGAATATGTAGGAAATAAGCGCCCAAACGGTGAGAAACTCTGAATGGAAACGTTCTGGCATCCAATATGCTCAGGTGTCAGGGTGTGAGAGCTTTCATAAAATAGCCAGACAAGGAAGAACACAGATATTTGAATTAGCCAAGTATGACGTGTCCCTTCTGAGAACCTCTCTCATCTCCAACGGAATATGCGTGCATTAATACTCGGAAGAAGCTTGTTTTCAGATGCTAAAGCTTCCAAAACTTCAAAAGCAAGGCTTTTATAACAAAGGGCTAGACAACATACATTTCTCGTACCAACTTTGTAATTTCATTGAAAAATGACTTTCACTGTAATAGAGACTATATCTGACCAGTATTTCGTATACAAAATGTCTCTTCGTCTTGTCAACGAGACTGACTTCGATCGCTGTTAGCACAGCTGCGAAACTAGCTGCTAGCACTAAAATTTGAATTGATTATGACCGATTTGAAAGGCCCAAACTTTTACATTTGACATCAAGCTATCTAGTCTTATCTTTGACATATGGCTGGAAAATACTGTCACAGTTCCAAGTACATTAAGCATTATGATCTAGGTTGATGTGAAGTCAATGTATATTTTTCGGGCACCGCTTTGACGGCAAAGAATATGTTAAAGTTCTAGATAAAAAATCAATTTTCGCAAATCAAGGCAAACATGTACTGATAACCGAAAATAAGTAGAAAGCCAAAGAATGGAATAGTCATTATTTGAATTGCGCTCACCTGTCTTGGTTTTTTACAGTTTTGAGGATAATGGTGAGAAGTATTAAATTGATGCAAAAGTTTTGCAAGAAAAATTTTGAATTCTTGAAAATCTTTAATTTATACACGTTTTTCATGTTTACTAGAGAGAATGTGCAATTTCTGGTGGGGCTCTAACAAAGGAAGGATACTTGGTCTCTGCGGCCATTCATAATGATTTATATATCAAAAAATGCGCTTTTTAATGCTGGTTCGAATACTATTTTCCATATCTGCGAAACGACAATCTGAAAAGAGTTATGATTTTTTTCCATGAATAAACTGCGTTACTGCGGAGGGTCAAAATCTTCAATAAAATTTTTTTCCTTTTCAAATGCTGAATATGATTTAGATAGGTTTAATACAACAGTATTCCTTTCAAGATTCTCTTCAATAGCTTAAAATGGTAACTTAGAACATTTGGTGATCTTAATCACACAAAAGTACGCAAATTTTCTGCGAAAAAAAGTTCTTAACTTCCTTCAGAAGATCGTTTCGCAGATATCGAGCACAGATTTGGAATCAGCGTTTGAGATGCATCTTACAGTATACATCGCATTCCAAATGGCCACGGTGACCGACTCAGACAATCGCTGGGGGCAGGCGGGCATCGGAAAAATAGATCGCTGATTTCTCGCACCCCGCTCGCGGATTTTTTGCAAAGCAATCAGGACTTTTCGGAAGACCGCTTGCTGAGTCAGCGGATTTTTGAGAGACCGCCTGTTGAATTTTTTTCGCTCTTATCTTTTGCAGATATATTGCTGAATCTCTAAGGAATCGAGAACTCAGCAAGCGGTCTTCCGAAAAGTCCTGATTGCTTTGCAAAAAATCCGCGAGCGGGGTGCGAGAGATCAGCAATCTACTTTTCCGGTGCCCGCCTGCCCCCGGCGATTGTCTGAGGAGTATCCTTCCCTTGTAAGTGAGCGCTGTTCCCTTTTAGGCGCGATATAATCTGCTCAAGCAAAAAACTGAAATCGTGCTTCTTCAAGTTCGGGCCAATAGCACTGCTAGAAGGCCCAAGTGACGCCGAAGTTAATTTTGAACTTGTTTTCTTGCTTTTCCTTTTTCACTGAGGAAATCGTTTTAATCTTAGTTTTTAAAAGTAATTACACTCTTCAAAATTTTTATGTGATTTTTCGATTTTGTTCTAAATTGATTCTTCAATTATCATAAAATACTATATTTAGTATGCATTCAAACATTAACAGTTCGGAATAATTTTTTGGTTATCACATTTTTCGTTGCGAAACTATGCTTCACTCTGATGACTTTGCAAATAAGTCCAATTTTCAACAGTAAAGAAGCGAGTTTTTTTGACTCTGTGCGATGTTGTGCAAAATTATGCCAATCTCTCACCGTCTCACGCAAACCGAAAAAGCACGGCTCTAGCATACAACTTTCATTCAATAAGTCAGCGATAGTTTTGAGGAACATACGTTGAGCAGTGTATTTCGAATGTAAAAGACTATCGCTTGCGTCTCCTTCATTCTTAGGCCGCACTGCAAGAAGGAGTTTCAATTTAGGAACGAATCGGAGGTTGCTCAAAGTCCTACAAAATTTTGCAAACAAGTGGATATGGAATAACATTCTAAGCTTCGATGTTGTTGTGAACATCAACATAGAAAGAGCTATTCTTTTGAGTAACACCAAATTTTTTGATCAAAGCATGCATTAGTTTTAGTTCTACTCTAAAGTCGCAGATATTGCAGTTCATTCCCAAGACGCTCATCCTTGATAAGAGAGTTTGATAAATGTTTCAGTTATAGCGTAGTGTGACTCACGTGTAGTAGCCGGACTTGCTGCAGGGTCAGAACATTCCTTCTGCTGGGCTGAGCTGCCATAGTGAAAAAGTATCATTAGAGCAATAAAAACAGGCACCATTTTGGAATATTATTGATTTAGTGACCATTGCTTTAATGAATATTGCATAGCTAATCCTCCACATATTTATGCAGCAGCATTGTTAGCTGAATCAACAATTACCTGTTGTTTTCATAGAAAAGTGCTGAGTACTGCATTAGTAAAAGAGCAATAGAATGACCAAAAGGTAGACAAGGGTGGCCAACCGTAGCGATATCTTAAGTGCTGCTCTACTAGGAGACAGCACAGTTACCCCTCTCAACTGTGCCGTGCTAATTCTGCTCTATAAAGACACAGCGCATTTTCTAAGAAAAAAAGCGGTATCCCTAACTTTAAGAGCTTTGCGAGAAACCTTTTACAAAGCAGGAAATTCAAATCAATGCAAATTTGCAGCGCATTTCCTCTAAAACCTTTCTAAAAGGATCAGGCATTGAATTGAATTTTTCCTAATTTCACACTTCAGTGGTAACCCCATAGGTTGATTGATCACTTTCAAATCATGTGTACTTGAAAAATTATAAATTACAACCTAGCCTCCTCAAATGTCCAACTGGGCTCAAGCATGCTCCTTCAGTGGACAAATCTGCTAATTATAGCCGTTAAATGGAAAAGGTGTCATGCTCTTGTTTTATATCATTTCCGTCTAAAACAAAGACTTCTTTTATTGCTAAGGAAACAGTATTTGCATAGATGAGTTGAATTTGATCTAAGCACGTTAACAAGTAAATACGCAATCATTTTTATTCCACTACAAATTTAATTGCAGTATCCACATGTTTCAGGGCATTGTTCCTTCATCACTTGCTGATAAAGCGAGTTGTTGCATAGTACACGAATGTGAGCGCAATTTGATATCACAATCCTCGGATCGACAAAATCACGGCAGGCTAGAAAAACATTGCTATAGGTTTTTGATGCTTAAATTCAGCGTTAACGGTTTACTTGGTTGGCATTTATTGCAAGTCAGTGGACACTTCTCTGCCATAAGCTGTTCAAACATTGGAACTTTACAAAGATGCTTATTTGGGGGACAGTCCGAAATTCCGATTGGATTGACGAAGTCTTGGCATGCTGGAAGTTAGTGTAATGACGACATCTAGCGGCAAAAAAGTTACACTTACGCGCTGTTGGAGTCACGGGAATTACCTGAAAGTAAATAGATGAAATGAAATTCTTAGTTTTTCGAGTAAAAAGCTGAAGAAACAAACTCTCCTCTATCTTTGCTTTGTAAGTCAGTTTGTCGTTAGGCTACGCTAACAAGGTAAACGCGCGGTTTATCTGATAAACCTGGGTGGGTAGTATTTTACCTGATAAACCTGGGTTGGTTAGTAATCTACCCTATCTGGTGGCATCATAGATGCCGGCAGGTTGGCATCACGGAAAGTTGCCAACTCCAGCGGCAGCGCGCGGATTGCTTTTAAGTATTGCTAAACTCATATGGTTTTGCACCGCAGTCACTATTCACATAAAAATTCGATGGCGCAGACAACCGTAAAACAGTGTCATTTCTTTTGTTTGAACCTACGTACTCAACTTTGAGCGCCGCCTCACAAAACATTCGACCACGCGGCCAACGTCCGCCTGTTTTCGGCAGCAAAAAACAGAAACGCACGGATTAGTGGCGCCTATGAGGGCTCATGAACAGTACTTTGCGCGATAGACAACCTGAGAGAACAGCTGATTGATAGTATGAGCAGGAAAAAGGCGAAGTCGTTGCAGACAAGAATTAGAGGAGTTGCGAAAAAATGACGTTCCTTTTGTTTTTATTGTATCACTAAACACTTCTTTTACATATTTAACATTAACTTGAACGAGGGGAACTCATATAATGGCAAAAATCATGGTTTTTAATGGAAAGTAAATTTTTTAGTTCTTTTGCTTGACGTAGAATGTGTGATATTGCCGCACTAGCCAAACTTACAGACGCCGCCAGCAAGGTGCCAGCATCTCGACGTGGGAGGGGTACGTCGAGTACCCGGCAGCTTTCTCTCTCAAAAGAGCACGTTATTTCTCGTGCACTCTGACCTGCCGGCAGCTGCCACCTCGCAAATTTCTACTAACTGCCGGCAGGTCGCCGGCAGCTGAGCTCGCGAAGTTGCTGGCAGCCCCTTCTGCACTTCCAGATATCTATATATCTTTCTTCGAGGAATTTTCTGGAACTTTAAATTTGGACAGAGGTCTCTACGAAGTCGCGGTGGCACCCTCACTTGGAAAATTTCTGAAAAAAAGGCCTGATACAGCCTAGATTTGGTATCTTAGTTTCTGGCGATTTCAGGGCAAGATGCCGACGACTTGCCGGCAAGGCCTGCCGCCAGCTCAAAGGAGGGGGGAATAACTACCTCCCCGATGTTATTACTCAAATGATTTTGATTGTATATCTTTTATCCAAAAACAAGGTATTGTATTCACCTTAGTGGAATCGCAACAAAACCCCTGTTGGCGAATGAATGCAGATACTTCCGGCAGGACACAAACCCATGACACATGCTAAATGCAATCCTTATTAAACACGTGGTTTGTGCAAATAATTCTACTCGAGAAGAGTTTTTACAATCTTACTCTCCGAACCAATTACAGCTCTCTCTTGAGATTGCTGTCGACATTGGATTGTCTCGATTTTAATTGAACTGCAGAATTGTAGTAATTTGTAGATTTTGGTGTCCTTCTTATTTGGGTGTATCCATCCTCATCGTGTCAGCTTAGCAGCTTTTCACAGTCAACTCATTTGTCTGTCACAGTCCCGTTAGCTTCATTAAATGAATGCAACACAATTATCAAAGCTTTGGGAGAGGGCAGTTTTGGAGAAAAATGTCTACTATTGAGTGCTGGAGTTCTTTTTAATAACTCCAATCTTAGCTTCACCCTGATGGCAGGGCTTGGCGCGAGGTGGTTCCCCGAAATTGCAAGAAACGAAGTTCCTTTTGACTTTCCTATGAAAGTACGATATCCACCATGACATACTAGAGGAGAAAACAAAAAGGAACGAAACAAAGCAATTGAAAAACGCCGAAGAAGCATCAGACACGCGATGGTAATCGTATTCTACAAATTGGTTGTGGGGTTTGCGAAGTAGATGAACTTTATGTAAATAACAAAAAATTATGAAGGCAAGAAAAAATTCAAAAAGACATTTCTATCCCAAGCCACCTCAGGTGGCTTCCAGGGTGGCTTGAAAGCCACCCTATTCTGAAAAAAATTGGCACGTATTCAGTTCACACAATGTTCTCATAATTTTTCATACATAATCCTAACTCCTTATTGTCCATTTACACATCAATTTGGTGCCATTTCATTCTCACTTCGCTGTGAACAACTCCTTTGTTTGTTTGGGAGAGCATGTCGCAGGAATGCCGTCAGCATGCCGGCAGCACACGGACCCCATATCGAAAGGCAGCGGTACATATGCTACTCCGCAAAAACGATATGCTTTTTCCGATATCCAGCTTGCTTGGTAAGCCACTTGTGCCGTGCCCTGCGTACAGCGATATTAAAGTTTGGTATTGCGTTAACAGCTCCAGCTAAGCGATTGCCATTTGCGGCCTCACAACTTAACGACTTATTTTGTTAGACATAATCGAATCCATGGATTAGAGCACGCCAAATACTGCCTGAAATAATCAAGAAGTATTTGGCATGCTCTAACAAATGATTGTCTTGATGTCTCAAAAATACGTTTAAGATTTTCTTGACATACAGAATACCCTCGCGAAAAATTTGTGCTGACAAGGGAATGGTCAGAAGTCGAAGTGGCCAATCCATACAAGCTGCATACCATTCGATGCAGCATAGAATGCTAATTTCAAATCTGTCTTCCCTATCTGCAGAGCGCCTTTGTAGGCGAAGTTATGAGCAGTTTTACTGCGAAAAAATCGTATACAAAAATTGCCAAATTGGGTACACTATTGCTCTTTCAGCTCACCTTTAATCATGGGTCATATGAGGTGACCTAGTTGCATGTTTTGGTCGAACACTAAGCCGAGAATGGCTTTGTACGGCCAAGTTTGCACTTTACACGCATAATTTCTTAGCAAAATAATGGCTTTCAACGGCTTATAACTTCGTCCACAAAAGCGCTCTGCAGATAAGGAAGACAGATTTAGAGTCACCGTTTTATGCTGCATCTAATGGTATGTAGCTTGGTTGGATTGTCCACTTCGACCTCTGACCATTCCCTTGTGAGTAAATTACAGCGTTCTATATAAATCCATTTGATTTGAATTTGCTCGAGACATTCCAGTAGTTGCAAAAACTGCTCTTGACTCATTATGCTGTCTAGAAGCACAGCCAATATGGATATTAATACGATGTTTACTGGTCTGCTTACATAGATATCTAAATTGTGATTCCAGTTTAGTAGCGAGCCTACCTTGCGTCAATTTTGCTTCACGAGATATTTGTTTGCTCCAAGTCGTGAGTATTTCTTCGTTATTTGCTCTCAAATCTCAAACTTAGGTGCAACTATTTGAGAAAAAAAAACTGAGTTACACGTCGTGATGCACAGTAGATGAGCCTTGGGCATACTTCTAGTTCAGCGGTCTCATATCACTTCTTCGCTAATTCAGCGATCTGACAATATGCCGTATGTTTTCAAATTTAACACTGGCAGACTATTGATGGGCTCTCCTGTGTCAAATCGCTTAAGTTGAGTTGTAATAACAGGGTCAAGCGCGGGTGTAGTACGCTTGCTTTGAGAGAGGACGAGATTGGAGAGGGAAAGGGTCGTGTTGAGGTGATACTGTTGGCGATAGCATGACATAAATTCCAAATAACCGCCAAATTATGGAACTAGGGGCCAGCCAAAACCTCGCTGTACTCTTTTTCGCTTTCAGTGGTTGCATTTAGCAACTATTTCTCATAGTAAAAACAAATCAAGCTCAAATCATTCCTGCCAATTAAAATTTAAGCTATTAAACATTCAAATAGTCTTGCAGATTTCTAATGCAGCGCAGCGTTAGCATGATAATAACTTTTCAAAATTTCGTGAAGTTAGAAATTGAAAAACGCTACCCTTTTTCAAAAACAGGATTTTTAGGATAAAAATTTTGCTTTTGGAGAAGAAGGTTTAGCAGATGATGTTAAAAAACGTAGTCCCAAGGCTTTGCAAGTCAGGTGTGACGCAACCCCAACAACTTACCTTCAAAGAAACTTATAGCGAAATTTATACCCGCTAGACAAATTTGAGCCTGAATATTCTATATTCCGCATAATACTTGCTAAGAGCACAACGTGATTTGAGATGGGGCTATAGTTCTGGCAGAAATGCCTAACTTACTTTTCAAACGAAGTTGCTCATGTTCGAAAGCGACCGCTTCACATGATGGCCGAATTTCTGGGAGCTTATAAATCACGACAGCTTGGTCCACTATGGTTACTCAGATAATCGCTGGGGGCGGGTCCACGAACTCGCCCTTTTCTGCAAGCGGTCAGCAAGATTTTGGAGCTTGGAAACCTTCAGCGAACGGTACTTCCGCCGTCTACCAGCGGGCAGCAATACAACATTTGCTGCAAGCGCTCGTCAAACAATCTCCAGCGAGAGCGAGTCAAACTTTCAACAGGCGCTTGGACTCTTTTCACGCAGTTTCGGGAGTACGCCGAGCAAAGGTAACACTCTACATATCAGAGGTGTCATCGATGGTTCAATTACCCGGGTTTGGGGTACTTTCTCTCAGCGGAAGGTACCTACGGGCTGTGCGGTCTTTCACAAAGGACAGTGCGGCTTTCAACAATTTTGCAGGAAAGTCGGCGAGAATGCGACTATTGCGCCGCAACAATCTATAAAAAAGCCGCAATTGTTCTTCGAGCATTCGTCTAAAATCTCGCCAAAATTCTTCCAAATATTTGCGAGCGGATCGCAAGAAATCAGCAAACTAATTTTCAGGGGCTCGCCCGCCCATAAATCGCATGATGCATGAGTATTTGACATGCTACTTACAATGTCACTCATCACGCTATTTAAAGTTTCCACGTTATGACGCAGGTAAAAGTTAACGCTGAAGGGTTTGTTGAGACAATAGAAGTAAAAAGATAGTACTCGGCGATTGTGCTTTACGCCTCTTGCTTGACCCATAAACAACCGGAGCAGTACTGAGTCGCGTCGTTACTAAAATTGCACGATATGGGAGGGCCTCATACAGTTCTTCGCATTTAGAAGCAAATAGCTTGACGATGACAGTGTAATTTACATTCTTCCTGACTGAAGGTGGATCCCAAATCGCAGTGAGAACCAAAAAATTTCATATTGATAGATGCGTCTTGGTAAGGTGATTTCGAATTTTTCCGTATCACTTGCGTGATCCTCTGGTTGAAGTCATGAGCAATTGAAGTTGTGAAGTTATTAGGGTTTTAATGCATGACGTATATTTAAATTTAGCTTGTAATCGTTAATTAGCAAATTGCTAAGTGTGCTGACTACACGACGCACACATCAACCAAAAACATAAGTGAATTAAACAATAATTTGCAATAGTATGCCACTAGACGTTTGCCATATCATTCAAACACTCGTAACTTCTTCCAAAAAAAATCCGCAGCAAATGCGGAAGCCAGAAGGATTCAGCACAAGTCGAATCCAATAATATGCATTTCGTTTCATTTCGCCGCTGCGATCTGGGATCCTTACTTAAAATTGATCTGCAAAGCGTTCAAATTCGAAGATTTTCAAGCATGCACTGTTCCTCTTCGTTTTCTGCATAGCCCTTGCAACACCTAAATGAGCGCAGCAAGCAACTTACGGTAGGTTATAGCCGCTGAATCGGAACATTTCTGTTGTAGGGCTGCAGGAGTGTGAAGAACGAGCAAGATCAGAGCGAAAAACGCAAACATGGTTTGTTGTTCCGTTCAACAATCTTCGCCTTTTATAAAGCAGTACCTTCCACCGGTTATATCGCAGACTCTCTTATCATCTGTCAAAAGATGCTATTATTTCAGCTAAGTAGAGTAGATTAAACAAAGTCTAGGTTATGGCGCTGTTAACACTGCCCTGATAGCACTTATGTAGCAGAAAGCGTTTTCGATGGAAAAAAATTTATAGCTCGTTGTTGTCTGCTACAGTGTGTAACACAGTTTACATTTCTTCATGTAAAAAATGACAGAGAGTAAAATCCACGTCCGCACAAACTCTCCAAACTTTCTAGTGAGTTGATGGTGATGTGTGCTTGTTTCACTGCTAATCATGCATAAACCGTTTTCTTCCTTACCAAGTCAACAAGCCGGTACTCCAACATCTTTACAATGATTTAGGAAAAACCTGTTTTTGATGCATCATTGGGGGCATCAACTATAAAGCAGCCAGCAGCAAGCTGCTTTTATCAGAGCGTAATGAAGTGACTTTCCTTCTTTAACTCAATATTTGTTGTTTGAGTGTTTTTACTATACTATACATCAAAGTCTTCTGTTGAACTGATGCCTTCTGCCTTATTTGCCATAAGCCTCAAGCGCATATCATGCACTTCGCCTGACAAACTTCACCAGAAATGTTCAGACCGGTTTGTTAGGCTACTGTGGATCGCAGTTGCACGAGCTTGTTTTGATTTTTGCCGCTAATTGAAGAGCAAGCCTTGAGTTTGAGCACATTTGTACCGTTTCAGTAGTGTGTCGCAACATCATTCAAGATATCAGAGATATCACTTCTGCGAAGGATATGAACGGCCAAAAAACATTCCTTTGATTTGCAAAACTTTTCCTTTATAAATTGCAATATCGTTTACGGTCCCACACTGCTGCTCCAAACCCGAGTTGCACCAGAGACTAGCTGATTTTCTTTCTTCGGTGGGTTTGTGATGTAGTAGACAAAGAAAAACTGAATGCCGACTAAACTTCAGCTTGTTTGTCTACACTGCAAAAAAATCACATATTAGAGATTTATTGATATTTGCAGGTTGTCCACATCAAATGTAAGCTTAAAAGTAATCGTAACTTTGCTGAAGTTCAATGGAATCAAAAGCTGTAGTTTTTATTCGGGGTACAAGAAAATTCTACATAAAATCATCGACCCTGCATCCTGATAAGAATAGAGAAATGTGTGACTTATTGCGGGAATAATTAGAAGTTGATAAAACTTCTGAAACAACTTGATACTAAAATGGGTGAGAAGGAACGTGAGCATATATCAAGAAGGCCAAGATTAGGTTCGATGGATTAGAAAGCGTGAGTTGCCGAAAAGTTTCAATTTCAAGTCGATTCATTCTATTTTGCAAGGTCATTCTATCTTTGAGACTAAAAATGGTTGTCGCGGATTGAGATAGTACCCGTTCGAAGAGGGTGGACAAAGTAGGTGGATGTGCTCACATTTTTTCATAAAGTCTTTCAGGTATTCATTTATGAGAAGAATGCTTATATTGATCATGACATTATTCCGGGAGGGGACAATGCATGTGGAAGAAATCCAAGTCCTGGTTTAGAAAATGAAGCAAACCAAGCATCTGGGACCTTCATAATCAAAAGCTGCAAGGTTATAACTTTTGTTTCTTTCAGTATGTACGAAAAGCTTACTGCTGCTTATAGCATTCAAGATGATCAAAGCAAGTGGCAGTTGGTCAACGTATTTATAGTATAATTATTGTTGTATTTATAGCATAAATATTGTTCTTGTTTGCAACTTTTGACTGAGCATCAGTATCATCCATTTTTGAGAAACAAAACATTATGTATAATAGTTTTTGGTCCTTAATATATCATAATATTTGATATCTTCAAGCATACGGCATGAAAAGAAACAAAGAAAATGTATCTCAGAATCTTGAAGAGAGGATAACCACATCAATGTTCTCTTCAATCTCAAGTTGATGATTTCAACCTATCTGAACAATGTTTTATCATCCATACTACGAGTCAAAATTCTTAATTCTTACTTAAAATCCGTACTATAATTCGAAATTCTCTCTTAGTTCTATACATTTTAAGCAGTCAATTAATTTATTGCTGGTGTGGATACGTTAGATGTTCAAAATGATCGTACTCTTTTGCAAGCGAGATCAAGATTTGAGTGAAGATAGTAAATATGGGTGTCTGTGTGTATATGTGCAGAAGCTAATAGTGTATACGCGAGTGAGTTTGTCCATATTTGGAGCAGAGTGACAACACTTGAATCGTGTGCATGTGAGCGGATTATTTATAGATATAGATGACTTACGCTAAGAAATCAAACCATTCTGTTGCATAGCATTAACCAGTTATTCTGAAGCTGGCCCGTTGGCCTATCAAGTATATTCCAAAAAAATACTTGGAATAGTATATGCGAGAATTAACAATGGGGAACCATTACCATTTTAGTATGAGTTAATGTCCTGTGTTGCTCTCATGAACCTGGTCTCAACTGAAAAGTACAATTAAGTGATCATTCTGTTTCGCCTCTTCCGCTATAGGATTACTTTTGAAGCTCAAGCAAAAGGGGATTGTTCAAAACAAAGAAAGAGTAATCACTGAGGCAAGGCCGCTATTCACACCAATGGGTAGCTCAAAATATATCAAAGAATTAGGCCGAAAGCTTTTAATCTATCAGTTACCCCAGCAACAACCTTGTTAACACTTCTGAAGTTCCACTGTAAGTCTTATATGTAGGCGGTACCTTTACTGTGGTGATGCATTTGAATAATCAAAGTTGGCTTCCTTGTCATAACCTAGCTTCAGTAGAAATTTGTAAAGCACGTGCTTATTTGTGTTGTTCCAAACGAGAATCTAAAGACATCAAAACAAAATCATACGCCTCATTAAACTATCCAGTAGTAAGAACACCATTTCCCATCACATTATGTTAATCAAAAGAAATGCATTCAAAAATTGACTTATTGTAGTTTCGAATTTAAAACGTGATTTCCGTATTTCCCTGTTTTGAATGATCAGTATATCATCCATATATTTGCGTAAACTTGTGTTCAAAAAATGAGAGAGTAAGATCGACAGTTATAGATAGAGTTGCCGGCGGCACACGAACGATTGACTAAATGCATTATCGCCAATTCGACTATAAGCGTTCTGTAATACATTTTCCGAAAGATGAATAACGTCTTCTATACTCCAAAAAGCCATCGTTGATTTTCCGTGCAGAAAAGTACATGATTTTATGGCAGTTATTTAAATTGATTTCTTGGTTTTTTCCGGCAAGTTTGTAAGACATGTATCAGTAAAATCAGCAAAAAACACGGTTTCATACACGGTCGATACAATAATATTGCTTATTGGCCAACAAGGCTGTGAGCAATTTTTTGAATACATCACTTGTGTAGCTCTAATGTGAGTTCTCATTGAGTAAAGAAAATGTAAAGTTCTGTTGCAAAATTTAATGCTACTGCGCCAGTAATAGACCTGCAGATTATAGGTTTGTGTAGTTTAGGTATGCGCCAAGTAGATAAAATTGCCGCCGCTTTGTTCGGCTATACCTGTGTACTGCGCTGCGAGGTGCGTCGAGGGAGTAACATTTGAGCATGCTGCCAATACCAACCTGTACGGTGATTTGAGCTCGTATGTGTCCTGAAAAACCGAGACCAGTGATTATTAGTAAAACGGTGCAAGTCTTGGCAACGTCTTAGGTAAGCCGCGGTTTCAGTCCATGTCGCGAAGGCCAGTCCAAATCCAAACTCTCAGACATTTTTACCTCCGATCAGAAACTTGCAAACTCTGTAAATGTTGTAGCAGTGCAGCACTTGTTGCACTGCCTTGAAAGACACATGCGTTGCAAAAAATCTGTCATTAGCTGAACCGAATCTTGTAATTTGCTTTGTCTTCCGGTGTCATCAAATTTCTCTTTTCCTCAAAATGAAATTTTGTTCCATGAGATGGAATGACTGCGTCCTGTGGAGACTGGTAACTACCCGACTACTTTTACCAAAATAAATATCCAAGGGGATTATTTCTCTGAACGGGTAAGCATGTCTATGCACACAAATGAGTTACTGAAGATATGTGATCCTCGACAAAGCTCGAGTTTTCACTTGTGGCTCATTGAAATGTTAACCATGGTTAGCGTTGTTGGGCTGACTAGTCAGCACAGCCTCAAAATGTATTCAATAATTTCGAAGAAAGAAAAACGAATCTTGTTGAAAAAAGAAACGCTCAGCTGTCGTGGACCATCAGTGCACCATATAAAAAGCTGGAAAGCGCGCTAATACAACATTGTGCTCCTTTCAGGTTCATTCATAACAGAGTGGTAGGAACGAGTTATGCACGGATGAACGGCTTGAAAGTCAGATATGCTGAGGATCAGAATCAAAAGCATTTTTTGGGCTGCTATCCCTTCCGCGGGAGATGTGCATGCCGCTCTGAGTTGATCCTGCTTCCATTCGTTTCCGTCTGCATAAACGTAGACTATAAAGCTGCCCGCCTGTTTTCTTCCTCAATTTTTTGATCGCAAGATGTATATGATGATGTAGCGATTTTGTGAACTGATGATACGTAACACTCTGATTGGTGTTTTGATGTCCACTTAATCATGTAAAACAACGGAACCAACGGTGAGATCTTAGTTTGTCAAAGATTCCCTTTTGTAACAGTTAAGGATTTATAAAACTCTGTAGCACACGATGTCTATGAATTGATCGATTTGATTGCCGTTTGAGCAGCGACAGTCTCTTATTGCACTCTTTGGCTGCACTTTACAGTTCTGAGGTATCGTTCAGATAATCACTGCGGATCATTCAAAGAAAGATAATCTCCGATCGTGCCATGAAAGTGGACTTGATAGCGTGACATAAGCTTTTGTTTACACATCTAGGAATTCAAAGGGATGATACGTTGCTTGGAAGACTTTGAAAGAGGCTTATTGTAGCTAGCAAAAACAACCAGGGGTTTGTTCTTTGATAAAAGAATTTTTTCAGAAATTGTTCTTC